GAACATACTGATGTTGCATTTTTAACTAATCTCCGTATTGAGTCGAAAGGATGTCCTAATCGAGCTGATTGGGAACGAGCTCGTATTTTTGTGAAGTTTTTGAAAACTTTTTATGATGCCACACTTTCTTTTTCTGGGTCATTGCATGTTACTGCTAACTCTTTTTTCAAACAGTTGATGGATATTAAAAAAAACGTTGAGTAAATGGAGGCACAATGTTAGTGATCCAATTTTGAAAACCATGACAGCAAATATGCAATTGAAGTACAACAAGTATTGGGAAAGCAATACAATAAATTATCTTCTCTTTGTTGCTATTTATCTTGATCCTCGTTATAAGCTTGACTATATTGAATTTTGTTTTACTCGGATGTATGGTGAAAAATTGTCAGAGGATATGTTAAAGAAATTGAAATCTCTCATTGCTAAATTGTTTGAGCACTATTTATTTTTGTATCCTGTTTCTCATGATGGTGGTTCCAATGCCTCATCTTCAAACATTGCCTCTCATTCTAGAATTGAAAATGGTGAAGATGATGAAGATTGGGACAATTTGTTTAGAATGAATATGAAGAAAAAACAATGTGAAGTGCAAAAAAATGAGTTGGAAAGGTATTTGGAGGATGGTGTTGAAGATGATTCTCCTACATTTAATATTCTCACTTGGTGGAAAGGAAAAACAAATAAATATCATGTGCTTTCCCGCATAGCTAGAGATATATTGGTTATCCCTGTATCCACTGTATCTTCTGAATCCGCTTTTAGTACAGGAGGTCGTGTCCTTGATTCATTTCGTAGTTCCTTGAATCCCTCTACCGTTGAAGCTTTGATTTGTACTCAAAATTGGATCAAATCTCCTAAGGTCATTGATTTAGAAAAAGAGTTGGTTGAATTGGAAAAGGTTGAGTCAGGTATGAATTATATGTTTGAATTTTAAAATCTATTTTATTTTAGTATTACATTACATTATTCTTATTAGTTGTTTGTGTTTACATATATAGAGTTAGCTGGATTAGTTTTTATTGATGTTGGCATTACTGCGGTTGAGCTCAATACAACTGTTACTACTAGATTTTAAGGTATTTTCTAGTGTTTTTTTTCTTCTTCTTCTTTTGACTATTGTTGCTTAAACTTTTAACTGTTGTTGCTGGATTTTATGTTGTTGCTAAACGTTTCATTGTTGTTGCTGGAATCTTTTACAGCTACTGTTGCTGGATTTTCTGTTGTTGCTAAACCTTTCACTGCTGGTGCTGGAATCTTTTATAGTTGCTGTTAGATTTTGGTGCTATTAGACCAATATTGGACCAATACATCTATGTCATTTTAAGACTAAGTGATGTTTATTTGCTTTTGAATTATTTAGAATTTATGAATTTTATGGAAATGATATTTTATGAAATTTTATATATTATTAAGTGTTAATATATATGATAGTTTACGGACCTACTTTTAAGCATGTGCTAGAAAAGGTAACATTTGAGTATCAAAACAACTAATATATACCGTATATTATTATATATTTGTTTTACATATGTTGATATATATTTGTAATGGATAACATTTGAGTATCAAAATAACTAATAAATTTTTATAAATTAAGGTATATTAATGAAAATATATAAATAATTAATGGTGTATATGTATCTTAATATTTTTTATGACAAAGAAAATAAATTTCAAAATTTTAATTGTTATATTTTTAATTATTCTATTTTATATGTAGGATTTGTCTCCACTACGTAAATAATTTAATTGTTTGAAATATGCAAAATTATATTGAATTGTGTTATAGATTTTTTAAATTGAAAATAATAATTATTATATACACAACCCGTGGACCCAACCCTACCCAACCCGTAAATATCCGGGTTGATTCGGGTCGATTTTTAAAGTAGAATTACGGGTTTGATGATAAACCCAACTCATTGAAAGTTGAACGGGTTGGGTAACGGGTTAAGGCGAACCCGGTCCAACCCAACCCGCGTACACCCCTAACTCAGACTACGGACTCCGACGAAACTACTTAGACATGTTCATCTCAAAATCTAAAGTACTTATCATGTTGTAAATTAAAACATACATAATCGCAAGTAATACAAAAGTAAAGAAATGCAGTAAAGTGGAAATGTAAATAACCTGAGATAAATCGAAATAGAAATAACTTCAAATAGATTACAATATCGATCCAAGCGTACAATCAACGATCACACAAAATGTAAAGTTACAACGGGGCAGCAATCACTCAGTGTGAGCAGTTACTGCTTTGGTGAATGAGTATGTAGGTAAGGTCTGACAGAATTTCGGCAGCGCTTCCGCACGGGTTACTTGGATGCCTAAAACTGACCTACAAGGGTCTATATATAGAGGGAAAAAGGCTCCAAAACTTTTGAATTCCCTCAGAACTGCCAAACTGCTCTGCCCAAAACTGTTCCCGCAGTGAACGGCGACCGCCGTGTGCCTAATGACGACTGCCATTAGCTTCAAACTGGAGTTCCCTCTTTTTTTTTGCTTGCATGGTGACCGCCTTCCTCAGGCCGAAATTTGACTTTTTGAAGGGCTTTCTTCACTATTTAGCTCATTTTTCGATCCTTTTCTTCTATGTTGCTGATTTAACACCTGTCAAGTAAAAACAAAAGAAAACATAAGTAATCAACAGCTAAAACGACAATGACTCGATAAAACAACGGATAAAAATGCACGAAATAAATCAAAAAGTGTGATACAAAGTCGAGTCATCAGTCTCCTTGACGGAGTCCCCTCTACGGAAAAAACTTCAGGCCCGACTGCCCATTGAGAAGGACTTGGTACGACAATGAGAATATATATCTTCTAATCAACTTCACCATTCTCTCCGGGAATCCCATAGCTTCCAACACACCAACAATAAAACTCCATTCTACATTGTCATACACTTTTGACATGTCCAACTTTAGAGTCATCACACCATTTTCCCTTTCTTTTTCTTCTTCATCTAGTGAAAACATTCCATCGCCACCAAAGCATTATCAGTGATGAGTCTTCCTCCCACAAAAGTGTTTGTTCCACGTCAAATATATCTGGCAACAACCTTTTAACCTTGTTTGATATCGATTTCAAGACTAACTTGATCACCACGTTACAAAGGCTAATAGGTCAAAACTCCTTAGGAGACCTAGGCTTCTTGCATTTAGGAATCAGAACTATAAAGGCCTGGTTAAACTCTGAAGGATCTTTCTCGTGATTGAGGACTTGTAACATCATGTTCTTAACTTCCTTACCCTCCATATTCCAACACTTATGAAACAAAAGAGCAAGGAGTCCATCAGGGCGTGGGGCTTTTAAAAGTTGCATTTGGAAAATAGCATCATCAGTCTCCCATTTTCCTCCCCCTTCTTTCGCTCCACATCTACTTTGGCTTGATGACGCGTTGAATAAACTCCTACTGCATGTTCTAGAACTTGATTCCTTATTTATGTGTTCTTTAAAGGCCTTTGGTAGAGGGGAGGCCCCCTGCCACAAGCCATATGATAGTTCATGTTCATCAATATACTTGTATTCTTCCTCCTCCAAATCTTCCAATGTCTCACTGTTCTTCACTTGGTGACCTAGTCTTCCACATACAAAACATAAAGTAGGTAATCTTCTGTATTTGAAGAATAGCCTATAACTCTTCTCCTTGAAGCGAACCATTGTCCCCTTATTCAAAGTTTGTTTGAGATCCGCGATGGTCCTTAGATGAAGGAATCTTCCGTTTCACTAGATATCCTTCAAATCCATCTCTTCGAAAGTTCTGAGAAGCTTCCATTTTCTTCGCCATCGCCTCTGACCAAAGGATAAGCAATAAATCATAGATCCGAACCCTGAAAGATCGATAATGCATGTCCAATCCTGATGGTTGTTCTGCTCCAAGGTCTATTGCGCAAAACTGATTCCAGATCTCTTCTTGAAGCAAATATGAATAGAAAAAGGTTCTTACTCAACTCTTGCATTTTCACTAAGTTCTTAAGTCTCCATGCTCCGACCATTGTATTCGTTAATGCTCTAGAGTTAAAGTTGTTCACCGTCCATAGTTATAGTTTCCCAGCTAGAATTCTTTGAAACAACTCTTCACCGCTCAACTCTTCAATCGCTGTTTTGACTCCTTTTTCCTCTTTCTTAGTTAGCATAACTTTCTTCCAATTCTCCATGACAGACAGAACATGCAAACCTCAAATCGATCTAAAAGAGGTGAAAAGCAAGACAGAACATGCAAACCTCAAATCGATCTAAAAGAGGTGAAAAGCAAGACAGAACATCACAAGAAGAGCGAGAAAACCATGAATTAGGAAAATACACAATGAGCATTGTTTTTTAGAGAGAGGCGAGACACATTTTCTCTAGAAAGCACGTGGATGAAGAAAAAAAGAGAAAGAAGAATCAAACAAGTAGCATAGCTATGTAACAATAGTAGTGTCATGACTTGTTTACTAAAAAAAAGTTGGTGTGGAATTGGAAAGTGAATGGTAGATTCCCCAGCCAACTATCATTACACCTGCTTACTTCCGCTGCATCAGCCACCATCTCCACCTTGAGGTCTCACTTCTGTTATCTCACTCACTTGGTTAAGATTCTATTCCGCTTCTGATTCTGCTAAAATGTTGCTATTACATTGATACAGCTTCCTCCATCCCTCCTATGCGTTCTAATGGTGACTTGTATTTTGGCATTTGACAATCAGACGATAATAGTTTGACTTACACCTTAACTTTCTCTCTCTATACCCAAGTTAAATAAACCAAAACAAAACATAAACGTACTTTAAGAAAAGACAAACCAAATACTATTTTTAAATTTAACAAGTTTACTAAAGTTCAACCTCTTCAAGCTTAGGATAATGTTGCGGCACTTAGCTATATTCCCATCATAGTTGAGAATTAAAAGGGTCAAATTATGCAATAACAATTGGAAAAATGAAATAACAACAACAACTACAAAAAAAAAAAGAAAAAAGAAAAAGAGTTATGGAATAAAACAAATAGCTGTCATGAATCTTTATCAGTATTACGATTCTTCTTGGAATTAGCATAACTCTTGATATGAAAATTAAGAAAAAGAGCCAAAAGAGAAGCATTGAAAACAGCATTGAAGCACCACGCCTTCATCCCGGAGCATCCACCGCCGTAAAAATGGTAATAAAGCATGACGCCGGAGACTGCAAAGCTGAACAAAAACTGAACAATCTGGCAATCTGTGACGGCGCGTTTCCACGGCGGCCGGATTCCAAGGGCGGTGAGGAAGTAGTAAGAGTACATGATGACGTGTACGGAGGAGTTAGTTAGAAGCGCGATTGGGAAGAGTGATTGAGAGGAGTTCAGCCATAGGTAGCACATGATTGGAACGGTGGAGTGATGGTAGACGTGGAGGAAGGAGAGGCGTTTGATGGATCTGGAGAGGATGATGAAGAGAGTGTCTATGAATTCGAGGAATTTGGAGATGTAGAAGATGTAGGCCCAGAAGAAGAGGGGACCGGTGGGAGGGGTGTTAGGAGGGAAACAGATGGTGGAGCGGAGGTTGGGAGTGTGGGTTAGGATGGTTAGGGAGGTGGCGATAGTCATGGTGAGGGAGAGGATGGAGAGAGTGAGGTTGTGGAAGGCGGTGAAGGGTTTGAGGAAGCGAGGTGGGAGAGGGGGGAGAGGGAGGAGGAGGAGAAGAGTGAGGGAGAGATATGAGAGTATGGAAAGAGAGAGGAATTGGAGGGATGAGAATGGGGTGTGAGGAGGGTTCCAAGTGAAGTTTAGGACATTAGGATGGGAGACAAGGTAGTATTGGAGGGTTCTGCCAATGGAGTTCTCCATTTCTCTCTCTTGCTCTATGTGGATAGAAAAGAAATTGTGTGGGTTGGAGATGAAGTGGTTGTTCTTGGAATTGGTAAATTTCACAGGTGGGTTATTGGGCTATTTTTCATCTATTTGCAATTGGGAACATTTTCCAATTTTTTTTTGGATATCTGAACCCGCCTTTTATATATATATATATATATATATATATATATATATATATATATATATATATATATATATATATATATATATATATATATATATATATATATATATATATATATATATATATATATATATATATATATATATATATATATATATATATAGTTTAATTAGTATGCATTAATTGATTGTAAAATATAAAAAATTTCTGTCTGATACATCAGAATACACGATGGTTGGATCACTTGGATGTAAAATTAATTTACACGTATATCGTTTAGATGTTAGTTTATTATAATAATAATATATCAATATTATATAAGATTTCTTTAATAAAAATAGTATTTTATCCTTTTAGTTTAAGATTTTTATATGTGTTAAGTGTATCATTCAATTTAAGATGGAGATAATATAAATAAAAAAATATTTTGTACTATTAAGAAAATGTTATTTTTGTGTACTATTAAGATGACAAAAGTGATTTTAGAATATTAAAATTAATTTTGACATTTTTTATTTATATAAAATACTACTATTTCCGTTTTTTTATAAGAGATAGGTCATATTTAAGTTTTTTGAATAATCAATGTATCTAGTTTATAAAGTGATCAAATATATTAATTATTCAATAAACTTAAAAAATAAATTTTCTCATATATAAAATCGGTAGTATTTGATTCTTTTAAAACTAACATACATTTAGAGTTCAAACAAAATTGTATATTAAAATTATTAAGAAGGAATGATAATTAGACTAATCTTTGAATACCCAGAAAAAAATCCATATTAAAATATAAAAATCCACAAAATATAATTACTCAATAAAAAAATAGACATGCATAAAATAGAAATTCACAAAACATAATTACTCAATAAAAAATAGACATGCATGTGGACATAGATATCTTTAAATCCACATGTCTCATATACAAATAATATATAATTATATATTTTAATTTATATTATTATATAAATATATATTTATCCATTTTTAAAAATACATTAATATTAAATTATTATACGTGTTCATTTTTAAAAAAAATAACAATGAAATTCTTATACATTTTAATATAAGTGGTTTTTTCAATTAACAATAAAATTTTTGATTTTTTTTAATGATGCTAATATTGTAAAATTATATAATATTATAGAACTGTTAGATTTACTTTTACTAATATACAGTCATTAGAGTAAGGGTACAAATATTGGTCCTCTAGAGAATTTAAGTTTCGGTACAAAAAATGAAAATTGTAATTTTAATACTCTATTCAAATTCTATAGATTGTGATCTCTATATTCAAAAACAATTTTATAAAATCAATTTTGATGATACAGAAACAAACACACACTTATTTTAATACTACACCTTGTTTCATATATAAAAATGTTTAGAATTTTTTTATATATAAGAAAATGTTAAAACTTTTAAAATGCAATAATTATTTATTTTGTTTTTACACCTTAATTCCTTTTAAAAAAAGAATATGTATATGTTCATATAAATAAGCCTCATCATTTTCAAAAATCATTAAATGTAGGGTCATATTGGATGTAAAATGTCGAAATTAGGATTTAATGATTTCATAAGTTTTTTGTTTTTATGTTTTTTATTGTCTATATAGAAGAAAAAAATTCTATTTTTCAAATTATCTAAACTTGCCCTATGAATATAAAAGAGTTATTCAAAAAAATCAAAATTGATTGAATGTTAATTTGAAAATATAATTAAAATAATTAATTTTACTTATATTTACCCACAAAAAAGACTAAATCAATAGTCTTAATTTATGACAATAGAAGATCTAATCCAATTATTTGTCGAAACACTAAGGGACAGTTTATTTTAACTTTAAAAAAATGAATTTTTTTTTTAAAATAGATTCTACAAAAATATTTTTCAAAATATGACGAATTTTTCTAAATTTATTTTTTATAAATTAAAAGATTAATTTTGAGTTACTATAACATACACACACATTATTGAAGAACAAAACATAGTCAAAATCACAGTTTTTTCAAAAAATTGTATTTCAAAAATGATTTTATAAAAAACTATTTAAAATAGTTTCAAAATTAAGTGATTTTTTTTGAAATTTTGACATCCAAATTTTTTTTCGATAAAATGACGAAAAACCTAAATAACATTTCAAAAATAACTATTCAAACTAAATTTTAATTTAAAACTTTTATGAAAACTTTCTTGGTAAAATTTATTTACACTAGAATATATTGATATATAAAAACCATTTAAAAAAAAAACTAAAACAAAGTTACACTATAAAAATTATTTTAAAAAAAATTAAAACAAACGAGCCCTAACTCTAACTCTGATACTTTGAATTTGATTTCAAAACCCTGTATGTTATATGTCTCTAGGTAATAACTTAAAAGAGTCTCACTGGTCAAAACCTTAGGCTTTGAGTACAAAATATTGGAAAGATCTAGTATAGAACAGAATCAGTTGTTCATGAGCTCTCCCTACTGGTTATAAAAAAAACAGTTGAACTTGTTTCTTTTCTCAACTGTCAAGGTTGTTTCTAAACACAATATACATCCTAAAAGCATTGTCATCCATTTGTCAAATTGTTGCAATCTCCCTCTCTGAGCACTATGCATTAACTAGTTTGGCTTTTAAACCACAGTCGAATACTTGCAAGTGCTAGATTGTTGTCACTAACCATTGGCTTTAGTCTTAAGCATGGAAGCCATGGATTCTAAATATCACAAAAATTCAACTGCTGGTGTAGCTTTGAACCACTTTCCTAGTATTTTTGTTATAATTGTGACATGTATTTCTCATATAGGTTAATGGACTATTATCAATCCGCATTGACATTTAGGACATATAAAAGCATCTACAATGGTGCAACCCATTTTTGAGTTTTTTGTGGGACTCATTAATCCACATCATTTTGAAACAACTCGCTCAATTTTCACTCCAATGGTGCAACTCTAAAGAACCCATATTAGATCCCACATCTTTACTTTGTATATTAATATTTTATTTCTATTAAAATTTATTTGATTTAAAATAATTATTTAAATTATTTAAATTTAAATTAATAAAATAAATAAAATTAAAACTAAACATAAAATTTAAAATTAAAATTAAAATTAATCTCAAATACATGACATAATTAAAAACAATAAAAAAAAAATAACATAACAAAATTACTCAAATTTAATTTTCATCATCCTCATGTCCAAAACGTTCCCAAATATGTTCAACTAGATCTCCTTGAAATTGGCGATGAACTTGTTTTTCACGAAGACTTGCTCTTCTTTGTAGTCTTGTTGCAAGATTCGGATGGGAACCGTTAAATATTTCAGTTGTTTTTTAGTACATGTCATCTACATTATCATAAGAGTAATCAAAATCACATCCATATGTGTCGTTCGTCTTCAACAATCATGTTGTGCAAAATGATGCAAGCATATATGGTATGCTTGAGGATTTCCATATGCCAGCCACGCGTCGGGCCACGTATAATTGCAAATTGAGATTGGAGCACTCCAAATGCCCGCTCCACATCCTTTCTAGCTGATTCTTGATGTTGAGCAAATAGTTTTCTCTTTTCTCCCTGCGGCATTGAAATGGTCTTGACAAATGTAGCCCACTCAAGATATATACCATTCGCTAAATAATACCCCATATTATATGATGTTCCATTGATTTTGTAGTTCACAGTGGGAGCATGTCCTTCCAAAATATTATTAAACACATTGGATTCGTTTAGCACATTAATGTCATTGTTTGAACCTGCAATACCAAAAAAATGAATGCCAAATCCATAGGTCTTGTGATGCCACTGCTTCAAGCATGATTGTGGGCTTACCATGATCACCTCGACAAAATTGTCCTTTCCATGCAACATGACAATTTTTCCATTCTCAGTGCATACAATCAATGGAACCCAACATACCTGGAAAACCACGTGACTCTCCCATTTGTAAAAGATGTTCAACATCTGTGTTGTTAGGCTTTCTCAAATACTCTGCCCCAAATACAACATTCACGCCCCGAATGAATCTTTCTAAGCACTCAACTGAAGTGTTTTCACCGATTCGAACATATTCATCTACACTATCAGCGGGAGACCCATATGCCAACATACGAATAGCAGATGTGCATTTCTGCAGTGGTGAAACACCCATTTTACCAGTTGCATCGACCCTCATTTGGAAATATTCATCATGATTTCCAAGGGCGGCTACAATTCGAAGAAACACGTGCTTATGCATTCTGAACCTTCTTCAGAATTGAACATCTGTGTAAACTGGATTTTCCGAGAAGTAGTCATTGAATAAACGATTGTGCCCTTCTTCACGACTTCGATCTATCACTGTTATTCTCTTTAGCCTAGAGGAACTTCCAGATTGATGTTCCTTCTCGAGCATTGACTTTAGTAGATCTTCATCAGTGTTGTCCATAAATTCTTCTTCAATCAAGTCCTAAAATAGATCATCTGAACTGTCTGAATCCATTAAAGTGAGTGAAGAATGAGAGAAGAATGAGAAAATAATGAGAAGAGTGGTCATTTATATAGTGATATATGAATAACGGCTAGTTTGAATAACGGCTAATTTGAATAACAACATAATATTTATTATAAATTAAATTGGTACTAATGACCATTTTACATAGGTGTTGATACATAACAAGTACTACAATTTTTCATCATGACTAAATTCCATATATTTTTTTTCAACTTATTACAATATTTTTCATGAATATCTCGCTGACTATCAGTCATCGTAGAAGTGTCTTTCGAGAGTAATCACATCGCCTTAACGGGACGACTTTCTTCTTTTTCAATACTGACTTGAGTTGGAAAATTACAATATTTTTCATGAATATCTCGCTGACTATCAGTCATCGTAGAAGTGTCTTTCAAGAGTAATCACATCGCCTTAACGGGACGACTTTCTTCTTTTTCAATACTGACTTGAGTTGGAAATGGTGGAACTTGACTTTCAGACATAAACACAATCGATGGTTGTGTTTCTGGTTCATGACGAAAAAATTCCATAGACTGTTGAACATAGGGCAAAGTTTGGTGACGGAAAAAATGCGGCGGAGTGTTTCCAGTTGGTGTCGAAAAAAATGCGGCGGAGTTTGTTGGCATCGATGAGAATTGAGGATTAGAATTTTGATAATTTTGCATGAAATTGAACATAGATTGTTGATAATTAAATTGATTAGGATTCATTTGGCCTAAACAATATTAATTTTGAAGTAAAAAAGATGAAAATTTGGGTAAAATGAATGATAATGTGAATAAATTGTAAGAGAAAAATTTAAAATTTTTTAAAGTAAAGTGATGAAATTTTGAGAGAGAAATTAAAATCTTTAAGAGAAAATAAAAGTAAGATAGAAAGTTTGTGTGTAAATTTTTCAAATTGGGTGTATTTATAATAAACTAAAAGTGTTAAAAGAAAAAATAAATAAATAACCGTTGCAACATTAAATTATATTAATATTTTATGAGAAAGTGCTGTTGCACTGCATTCTTACGGTACGCCAGCCTGACCAACTCCAACGGCTACATAATGATAAGAAACGTAGGCCACATGTAAAAACATTGAAAAATCTTCCCGTTGGAGGTACTCTAAGTATAACATTGCCTTATATCTAATGTTTTTCGATCATTTCTTCAATCAGGAAACTATTGCACATAAATGAGTGTATCAAAATATGAAAGAAAAAAAAATTAAGCTCTCAAATATTTGATCATTCTCAATTACTTTTTTATGTCTGAAAATTAACACGCAGCCACAATTTTAATCACTAAGCTTCTCCCCAATGACAAATCATGCAATTAATTACTGCATTTTGTGGCAGTTTGTCTGCCTATTAAACTATACTCTCTATAACTAACTGATCATTCCTCGTGCAGCTAGTATAACCCATGTCAATAACCAAGTCTTCATCAAAATCATGCAAGTACAAGCTAAATCATTTAAGGATCAATTGTCTCTAACTTAAGCACCCAGACAAAGTCTATGACATTCATATATAGCTCATAGTTTAAAAAACAAAATCCAAAAATTGAATAATAGAAGCTAATGAAAGTGAAACAATCATATACAATATCAATTAAATGAAAGTCGGCATGTTGCAGAGGCCCTAGGGCATGCGGACAAATTTTTTTCTAATTCAGGTGATCTTTCCCCGACGCACCAAATTATCATGGTTTGTAAAACAGCTGCATTCTTAAGAATATATCTTGCTACCATTAACTCACCTTGTAAACTTGTGATTGAAAAGCCCCAAAGAGTGCAAGTTGTAAGGTTTGATGAAAGGCAACATGGAACAAATTCTGGATCTATAGAGTACTCATCTGATCCACTTGGTAACTTCTGTTAATAATACAAATAAAATAAAACATAAGATATATGTTAAGAAAAGATAAATCAAACATGGTTCTCCAAATTAACATACCTGATGAAAGTCAAACTTCTGAAGCTTAGGGCAGTGTTGGAGCACTTCCACAACTCTATACCAATCATAGTTAAGCTCCAAATGGGTCAAATTATGGAAGATAGGGAAAATATTAGGGTGACCGCCCTAAATTAGGTAGAAAAACAAAGTATTAGAAATTAAGACGAAATCCATTGATGGACCAAAATGGATTGGAATGGAACATAATGGAATTAGAGGAACGGAACGAGGCAGAATGGAGCATAGATTTCAACACTGCATTGTTTATGTATGTTATAAATTGACAGAACAGAACATGCCATCATTTCATTGCATACTCTTCAAATCGGGGAGAATGGGATGAAATGAATTTCATTATCTTCATTTGTAAAAAGACAAACATCATCCATTATTTGTAAGGACAAACAATGAAATCCAATTATTTACCACTCCATTCCACCACATATCACTAATCCAAACATAGCCTAAAATAAAATAAAGATAATTCACAATTTTTTCATTAAATTCCAATGGCTTGCATCATAAATTCATATAAAAATCAAACAAACCTTCAAAAAATCAATGCTCAGAAACTTCAGATTTGAGAGTGCTTTCAACCAAAAATCACAACAGCAGCCTCTAATATATGCTCTAGTCAAATTGCTTAAGCTTGAGCTTTTAAAGACATTATCAAACTCAAGAAGAGTTTTCAAACAGCCAAAATTGACATCAAATACATGTAAATCTTCAAGAACAGGACAACCAGCTAGAAGCAAAAGAAATTCTTCATATTCATCAAAGTAGATTTCTTTCAAATGAAGCACTTTAAGTGATGGAAATCCGACAAAATCAAAGCAAAAAAATTCCTCCACATGGAACCAATGAAGCTTGAGAGAAACTAGGGTTCTACAATTGAATACACTAACAGGCAATTTAGGGAATTTTCGATGTTTACCCACATTACGAAGAACATCGAGATAGAGATTAAGATGTTGAACATTGCATTCAACCGCATAATCTACCCAATTTTGGATATTGGGATTGCTGGGACAAAAAGCGAGTTTAGGGTAAAAATATTCAATGTCGAGGAAGAAACTGTTGATGGATTGATTACCGGCGGCTTCTCGGAGGAGTAGAATTTCGTAGACGAATTTGTTGAAGCGATAATTGTCTGCTAGGTTTTTCAATCTTGTGTCGCTGAAATGAAGAAGAGGAACATGACGCCATAGATGAATCCATCTCTTTGAAAGAATGCTTGTGGCAATGGCTTGTGTGGTGGGAAGAAATGAGAGAATGTGGGTTAGGATCTCGTCGGGTAAAGTTCCGATCCTACCCATTGCCGCCGTTGGGATATTGGCCGGAACTGTTCTTTTCCGGCGTTATTCACGGTGCCATATATGAAACAAATTTTGAAGGGTTTAGTTTTTTTAAAACAAATTTAGGATTTATACTTTTCGTTTATTTGTTTATAAAAAAAAAAAAAAAATAACACACTGATCATGCATCATTTCTTTTTTCAATAATATATAGGTATTAATTATAATGCATCCGCAGTTTAAAAAAATTTACATACTCAATTCATAACCCGTTTGTATTATTTTATCGGTTATTAAAATTAAAATAAAATTACATTTTATATCGTTTATAATTAATTGACTGTGTAAATTTTTTTTATATTGTCGGTGCATTTCAATTAAATTATAATATATATTATTTAAGTTTCAATGACTTACATATTATTGAATGTCTATTTGGGATTGATCATTGATCTTTGAATAATTTCTCTCATGGAAATTCAAATATATTCTTAAAATTTAAAATTCCAATGCTAACACAATACAACAAAGACACATCCAATACAAACAAAAAAAAACTTTTGAATTACAAAATTCAAGTCCACCATTTGAAAATTAAACTCTAGACACACTCTTTAAAATTCAAACAATCATGATTTATGCATAACCTTGCACTAAATCCTTACACACATGATCATAACATTTTCTTTTCTTAAACCCTTCCAAAATATCTTGCATTTTTATTTAAGATTTTCGCTTGCAAACACAATTCTATTCTTTTTTTTTGACATTAAAAGTCTCAAAATTATCTCAAATATAAACAGTATACATATCTTTTATTTATAATCATTTTAAATAATTTATTTTTTTGCATCATGAATACCGTCTGAAAATTGTAATCCATGTCTTTAAAAGGATTAGTCTAGAGATTGAACTCTGAATTCTTTGACTGGTGATTGAAATTATCTTATTTTTTAATTGGTTGCAAGTATGGTGCACCTTGATGTTGTCAACAAAGTTAATGCATCAAAGGATGACGATTCAGAACATCTCCAACCAGGTGTTGTACGCGTTGATGTAGGAAAAGAATTTACTAATAAATAGGAGTTTACTTTACGTGAACATATGCTTCAATGTCTCTGTATATAAGCTCAAAAATTATGTTTAGGCATTGTTATTGGGAGAACGAATTTTGGTTATGGTATAAGACATGCATTTGTGACGATGAGATGTGAAAGAAGCAATTAATATAAATAACTTATCCGAAAATTGAAACGTCGTGACAAATGTGAATGCCCTTTTAAGCTACGCAGGAGCCACAAATTAAATAATACATGGATATTTAGTATGATTTCTGATATACATAATTATGGATTGTGTCACAAGTTAGTTTGTCATCTGATTGTCTATCATCTGAATTCTAAAGATAAAAAACTTATTTCTAACATGATATTGAACATGGTTGAGCCTAGACGCATATTCCATACTTTGAAAAGGAAAAGAGATAGAGTGTCTCAAATATTAAGCAAATATATAATGTTTGCCACCGAAACTATTAGCTGAGTATCATTATGTATCTAGGTACAGAGTGTGTGAGGATGGGAAAAATGTTCGAGATATATTTTAGACTTATCCTAATTTCATCAATTTGTTTAACACATTTCTCATTATATTAATAGTTGATTGGATAAATAAGGCATATATCGGTGGTGAAAGTTGTTTTATCGTCTCCACAGGGATTATTCTCATATTATTTGTTATTCTATAGTTTATGAAGTCTTAAGTGAGGTTTTCAAAGGTGTTTTGTTTGGAATCATAAGTTTTCACAAGATTTAGTAGAAAAAAGTAAAGTTTGAAAGATGTTTGTTTAACAAAGCATATCAAGAATAGATTTCATCAACCTAACTTGCATATATTCTATTAATCAAACATGTGAATTTGTTTCCAATCAATATAATCACGTACCCTCTCAATATTGTTTATGTCTAAAGCGGTTTTGTGAGTATTATTGTATCCATCACAAGATGATGTCTCATGCTAACAACCAATACAATAATCTTTAAGATTGATACAAGGCAAATATCGACTCACAAATCTATGTCTAGAGTTTGTTCGTTAATAGATGAATATCTTAGATCAGGTTTTGCAAAATCTATGTCTAGAGTGATTCAAATCAAAGATATATCATTAAGAACAAAGATATTCACCATATATTAATCATCAACTTGTTCACATACAAAAGATTAAAGATAATACATACAAGATCAAGGAAAACTACATCTACCCTTGATACAAAGGATTTAGTTACACATCACCATGGTAGCTTGCTTCACAAGGAAAGATAGAAGATGAATGTTCATCTACAATGAAGAATCCATAATGGATGCGAATCCAACTTCTATTTGATAAATATCACTTATTGATGAAGAAATAAGAACTTAGGGTTTTTGTGCTCCAAGGAAATGTTTGTGTAAAAGAATATCTAAGAATGATTCCCCAAAAGCAAGAGAAGTATATAAATATCTCCCAAAATTTGTACTACCTTGCACAACGAGCTCCCTTTTTAGGCACTTCAAGTGTCTGTGGAACAGTTATACCTTCACTTTGTTGGCAGTTCGCACAGTGAGCAAACTTATTTCTTCTTCTTTTCTTTGACTTTCTTTTCCATTATTTTGTGTCTTTTCTATGATGTTCAAGCCTAATTCCTATACAATAACACACAAATCAAGGAATCCAAAGGTATATGTAATTATATTGAAGATTCACACATTTTCATGGAATAATTCAATTAAAACACAATTAAATAGTTGAAAATGCCAAGAAAGATGGTCCAATTTAAGTCATATTTTGCATTCAACGGTGTTACTTCTACAAAGATGACTTATTGTGTTGGCTTTGTATTTTTGGAATGTGAAAAATAGGATAATGTTACATGAACTTTGAAAACGTGTCAAAATATACTAAAAGACCTAGAAAACATGTTACAGATGATTGTCACTAATCGCGATTTCGCACTTATGAATTCAATTGTAGAGATATTTCCTACATCATTTGCTAATGCTATAAAAAGTTGAAGTAGAAAATCATTTGTGCATAGATTAATCAGGTTAGACACTTGAAAATATCAAAACTAATAAAGTTCAATTTTTTAATGGTACATTGAAAAACTGGTTGAGAAATAAAATATTTTAAGGGTTAAGAATCATTCCACCAAATTATTTAAAATTAGCATAATGAGATGTATACATCACATGGTTATAACATCACAATATTAAAACACAATTCCAAAGACAAATATGTATTCCAATTAGTCGACAATATATCTTGAGCGAGATTAAACTTTATTTATCACGAAACTGTACGAAATAGAGAAAACAAATCTTTCTCTCTGTGTATGGTATAAATCCTTACATTTTGTTTTTAGGATTCTTTCACAAATCAATGTAGGTTTTGTTTGTTTGTCATTTTAGGGGTGGTATATTGAAGCCATTAATATTAATCTTATAATAATGTGTTATATATTAAAGGTAAGTAAGAAGATTTTGAAATTAGATGTAAAAAGGAAAATTGAACATTTTATAAGTAAGATAAGTCATAAATTTATTGTTCTAAGATTTTAAGTTAAAATGTGGTATCCAACTTATTCATGTTATTGTTCAAAATTTAATGTCATGATCCCCAAAGATCTCCAAAATCTAATTTAACCAAAACTTTTTATATAAAAATTCTTTTTTTACCAAAATGTTTAGACAACGTGTCCCCTTGAATGTAAGGTTCGTGGGTTTCTTGCTTGCAATTGTAGTATAAGGTGATATTTATATTATTAGGATTTTTGGTTGAGAATAAATGGAGGAGAGAGGGGAGAAGGGAATATTTAATAGTAGTTTATATGTTTGGTTCAAATTTTAAGAAGAGAGTAAGGGTAGATGAAATGAATCAAAATCTCTCCTAAATCACTTTTTGCTTCCTTTTAATTTGGGAGAATTTTAAGGGGAGAGGAGGGGCTTCATTTTAATTATAATTATATTTACATATTTATCATTTTTTTAAATATAAATTTAACATATTAAAACATTAAAAGCTCTATTTTAAATCAATTTTATCTTCCTTTGACATTTTTTTTGGTATTTTTATACCTTTATCTTACTATCATTAGTATTATATGTGTTTAAATTTTTTATTTTATTTCTTATACTTTAATGTTACTTTAATACTTTATAATTATTTATAATTATCCTAATATTTTTGTTTATAATAATTTTTGTTAGATTTTATTGTTTATGAAATTAAATATTATAATTATCACATTTTTATAAAATTTTTTATAATTTTCTTTGATTGAATACTTATATATTATCAAATAAATTTGTATTTGAATTATAAATGGTAAATATCATGAGTTTTATTGTAAAATTAGAAGAATAAAAAAGTAGATTAGTTTTAAAATATTTTTACTCCTTCTATAAATCAAACATATTTGTAAATAAAATGTCTCTCCTCATATATATATATATATATATATATATATATATATATATATATATATATATATATATATATATATATATATATATATATATATATATATATATATATATATATATATATATATATATATATATATATATATATATATATATATATATATATATATATATATATATATATATATATATATATATATATATATATATATATATATATATATATATATATATATATATATATATATATATATATATATATATATATATATATATATATATATATATATATATATATATATATATATATATATATATATATATATATATATATATATATATATATATATATATATATATATATATATATATATATATATATATATATATATATATATATATATATATATATATATATATCCTCCTCATGTTCCTTATGTTCTTTACAAATGTATACTTTATGAATTTATATTATTACTATCGGTTTGTTGATGAAGCATGAAATTTATTTTTGTTTGTGGATTTTAGCAACATATTTAAATGTCTTAAGTAACGCAT